TCACTTTTTCCGCTTGTTAACTCGTCAACCACACGCACACAAACAGTAAGCACGCGCGCTACGCAGCTTACATGTGAGAGGAAATACGAGTCTTATGTGTGGGCAGGCAACAATAGAATTCGCTGGCCTTCGCACAACGCACATGCGGCAAGCACGGACACACCTCGCCGCAAGGCATTTTCTCAGAATACGGTGCGAAGCGAGGCAGCGCCCGGACGTGTCTACCATGAGAGGTGGAATCGGCCGTATACCTCTGCGGCAAGAGGCGACACAGATCGCATGGCTCACGGGCTATTAGGAAACGCTTGAAATGGGAATACGGATTGTGCCATGATAACGAAATGTTCATTATACGTTCGCAGATGAATAACTCTTATACCATATTAAAATTGTAGGTCATATCACTTTTTATTATTACGAAATGCATTAAACTAGTACATATTCATCAGGGAGCCGCCACTGCAAAATCATGTAAACATTTGATCGTCATCCGTGCCCTATTCTCGTGCTCCGCGTACCGACAGAATTCTGACACTCAGCTCGTGACACTTATTACAAGTACGCCTGTTCGGGGTTTCGACCCCCGGATGAGGTGCGTGAATTTTCGAAGCATGAAAAATCTTACGTGGCAATTCGTGCTTGTGGCAGGTGCACGGCAAAATTAAATATCTCCGGCAATGTCCCGCCTTAAGATCTTACGTTCTCCTAACCGAACAGTTCGAATATAGTTCACCGTAGCCAATATCTGGCGGAGAAAATGGCAATCACACGTTAAGTATAGACGTGCAAAAGCAAGGGTCCAAGGAACAGGCTGCTTCTATTAAATATTTGTAATTTACGTGATACAAAATAGATCAACTTTTTATTTTCTTGGCTTGTAAAGAACTATTTTTCTGTAAATATCTAGGTCATTGCAGTATTCGTGATGCCTATTCCTGTTATAGCTATTAACATATCTAGAAATATGAGTTATTTCTGCAGAGGCCAAAAGTTAAAAATCGAGGCAGAGCGTAGCGGAGCCGTGATTTTGAATTTGAACGAGTCACTAATAACACATTTTGTGTTATGTTTAGCATTTTATCGGTCGCCATAAAATCTTCCGATTTATGCGAAAATTTACGTTACTGCGATAGTAAACGTGAATTCTGTTGCCGCGGCACGTCACTGAGATATGGCGGGGTGTTGATTGTGATATAACCATTTAGACAATATACGTATACCGTGATTTGAGAAAAGATAGATGCAAATAATTCTCCTGAACCTTAAGATACTTCAAGAAATGACATTCGATGAAGTTGGCGCGTCGACTTCCAATGACGACACTATCAGATCGTCAGTAAAAATGATTATCGGAAAAAGGTTTCATTTGGTGAAATACCAGATAAATGAAGTTAATTTATCTAATACACATTTTTAATTGCACTTTTAATATTAAATAAATCAATAATTATTCCAATAAACTAATATGCGTTACTATTACAGTAGAACCCTCCGTAATCCGAACTAATTGGGGGCGTGGTCTGTTCGGATATCCGAAAAAAAATGTGCCGTACATACATAAATACATCTATAGAATTACCAGACAATGCAACGTAGCGTGCGGCGTGACAAAATGGGAACGTAGCATAGCGATCGCATTATCAAGCATCAGCCCCTTACGGCAAAAGATTACAGATTTTGCAAAATTCCTCTAAGCGAAAATCACAGCTACAGAAACATGTGGTATACACCGTACTTGCCAAAGCTATAAAAATTTAATTTCGACAAATAGTGTTTCAATAATTAGTTATTCAGTTCTACAGTAATTATAAAATTCTTTCTTCACAGATAAGCCATTTTATTTATTTTTTCATCCCAAATTTTGTTCGAATTATCTGAAATTTCGGATTTGTGAAGTTCTACGGTATTCTGACTTGGTTGAATCTGATTTGCATAAAAAAATTGCCAGGTTTTTTATTTACGTTGCTAAGGATGTTAAATTTCTTAACATAGTTAAGTACAAGTGCACTTAACAAATCTGTAGGGTTGCATTTCAACAGAGGGTTAAAGACGCATGTGACCGATAAAAATATTTAATATTTTGCGATATTATTCGAGAGTATTTTATTTGTTATGGAGTACTGAGTGTACTTCTTTGTGGAAAACAATTTTGTGTTTTGTACAGCAGAATTTTTGCTGACACATGCGACTAGTTTAAAATGATACACCTAGATTTATAAGCATTTTTTTCTTCGCGTAAAGATAACACCTTGCGAAGAGGAAGACAGCCATTGAGTCGCACGCGATTCCAAGTTCGGCTTTCGATGCGCGATCTGCCATACAACGTTCTTGGCGGCATGCTTGCCGATGACTATTGACCAGTAACTGGCCGATGTCACCTTCATGACCTTAGCGATCTGCCAGGGAAGCTGCAGATTGCACGCATCACAACAGGCTGTGGCGTTCGAAAGCGTCTGGAGATTAGTAGAGTACTAGTGATGATCGTATTCGATGAAGACGAGTGATTGACATCGCGAACATTCACATCGGGGCCATTGGCCAGGGTAAGAACAGTCGCGACTTCTATGGCACCCAGGAGCCTGCAGCCCAATTTCGCTCGTTTAGTAGTATGTTGCGTCCGGTTACACAGAAAATAATGGAACTACTTCGAATGCAGCCGCGAATTTTCAGGTATTTACATAGTTTACTGAAGATCGAATTCAACTTTTCAACTTCGTGCTTCGTTGACATGAAAGTTTACTTATATTCACGGACTACAACATTTTCCTGTTGTTCTCTCACTTATTCTATAATCTTTCTCTCTAGAGTAGTACAAAAGATGTAGTAGACAACCCTTGCGGTGCAATTCAAAGGTGTGCTGAATGCACAGTTATCATTGGCCCTCCATTTGCGAACAATGGTGTAAAGTACTTATGTACATTAATAAAGTTTCAAACATGATAGTTGTCAAGAAATTGAAGTTAAAATTAAAAAAATTCAAAATTATATAAGTATTGGGAGTTTCTGTTAAGAAATATCCCAACAAGCCTGTAAATAAGTTGAAAACAGTCACAAGCACTTTTGAAATTAAATCTTACGAAGAAAAGATAAAAATAGAAAATTAAAAATTTTGTTTTTAACATTTAAATGTGTTTAAAGAATTGTCACCCTGACTGGGAGTTAAACCCAGGTCTCCTGGTTTACACTAAGTTGCTCCAACCACTACCCTACCATTCTTTGAACAAATTTAATTATTGAAATACATTTGTTACTCAGTAACAAGGTCACAACTTTGTATTCTTTACATCTGCAGAATATATTTTCGCACGTCCAAAACGCTGACAGGGTGATGAAAATTATATTTATTTTTAACCTTTTTTTTACAGGCATTTATTCTGTCTTATTTCCTGTCCTATCCAGGGTAAGATATAAAAATAGTGTAGGATGTTGAAGCAAAATAATAGTTAATTCAATGTAATGATGAAATATTGATGCAATATTTAAAAAGAAAAAATTACAGAATATAATGTATTTCCATAATCCAAAGGTCATGATAAGAAATCCTCAAAAACAAGAATGGCAAGATCTGATAGTAAGATATTTTGTATTCAGTAGTTTTTCCAGTGAAATTCATACCACAAACATAACTACAAATCTAAATAACATTGACAAAATTCTGAGATTTAGAGGTAGTAAATTGTCTCTAAATTCGAAGTATATGTCAAATATAAATTAATGAATAGATGAAGTCAGAAAAAATTCAGCAACATACATCAAATTTTAATGAAACCTTTAAATTTCATAGTATATACGCATTGAATTGCTTTATTAGGGAAGGGACATCAATGAAACCTTTTTATGTAACACTGAGCAATATTTCATCCAAATACTCAGATTTAAAGAATATATTCTTTAAACTCACAGCATAAAGAGATAATGCATTAAAAAATTGTAATTTTTAATTTTTACAAAGCATATTTCTAGTTAATTTTATTGAGCATCAAAAAATTAAAAGGTAAACAGTTTATGAGGAATTAAAAGTTTTTTCATGTCCAAATGGAGGGTGCACAAGTTTTCAGGTTTTAGAGATGCTGGACAAAAATCCTGATCGAGATGCCAGGAAGGAGGGTGCTTTGACCAGACACTTATGTTGACATAATTATAATGTACTCTATAATATTAAAAATAATCAACAAACATTAAAATAAGTTGCATTGCAATAGCAAAGGAATTCCATTGAGGTTTCTGAAATATGATTTATCAGTTTCAACAAAAAAGTTTTCCAGCAAAAAAAACTTCACCAGTGAAACATTTTTAAGTTGTTTATTCAATACTGATAGATCAGTTTTGAAATTTCAATTTGACAGGTCAAGAATAACCTATTTGTCATCTACAAGCTGATCTGGCTCTGACAATTAAATTGAGTCAAAAGACTTGCATAAAATTTTAAATATATCTTTATACTAATAGAAAGATTTCACAAAACATATGCCAGTCACATGATCCGTTACTCCACTTACATATATTTAAAAAGAAATGGTTTGATTGATCGATTTAAAAAATATATATTTAAACATATCAAACTATACATTTTCTATACATAAAATTATTTAAATATTTAAAATACATATACACTGAAACTCTGCCAAATGCACTGATCTATTTCACTTAACCTAAGCAAGTTGTCAATTATTGTGAATATTTTCCTGTATGCATCATAGCTATCTTTTCAAATAAGCTCATAAGTTTGTATTAGAATCAATCTTTACATCTTTTTATCTTCCCTCCGAACACTTACGAAATTTGTGCAATACTTTGAAGAAGGACATGTACGTTCTTACCAAGTTATCCAATTAATAGCAGAGAGACTTATTTCCACAGAACAAGGTTTATATTTACAGATGCCAGATATAAAGACTCCATGATCCATAGTTCATTACTCACCAAAAACTCACTTGTAGGAAATAGAAACTAATGCACAATTTTTAAAATAAGATTAAAATTGAAAAATATTAACTAACCTGCAAATGTGGCCAGGAAGCTTCTAAAGTTGGGTCATCTTCTTCTGGGTCAAAGTCAGGATTCTCACTTGGAGGAAGGGTCCGGAAGAGATTGGCTGAGATCTAACAAAAACCAAAAGAGTAAAATAATGTAATTTACTTATCAAGGTAAAGCTACTGGCACAATAAAAAATAAAATAAAAATGAAAAAGAGGATAGAATTGAATTATGTATATCCCAGAAAAACACACAATCAAGATGTGCACAAATGTACACCTAATAAATGAAAGTCCTTTCTTAAGGCCAGTGATGCACAAACTTACATGTCCTCAGGTACACATGCATGCACACCACACACACCAAATAAATGTACAACATAATATATTAAAGTTTACTTCAAAGCACTAATCACCCCCAATCTGGAATTGATCCCGAGTCATCGTTTATGACTAGTTGCCCTATAAAAGTATTAAAGTATAATTTGAGTATTAAATATATCACATATTTATATATTTACTTGCATCATTAATATTGCAAAGATTTTCTCAAACAATGAACATTTTAAAGTAATTACAATTTACACATTTTAGTCGAATTTAATTAGATTTAGTTATATTCAACTAAATATAAGAGTGCTGGAAATATACATAAATCAACCTTATCCTGTTTTAAGTGTATTTATGATCTTGCCTTTTGTGAATATTCAGTTATATATTAATGCAAAACAGTTCTGCAAGAACACCATGTCAAACTTTCTTTGAAATCCAGAACATTAACCGCAATGATATTGTGACAAGCAGGAGTATATCTTTCTATCCTATTCATAATTGCACATTAACACACATTTAAATGTTACAGCATATGCTAGAGCAACCATAACCTGAAACGTAAGAATGAGGACATCTACTAGTCAAGAACTAGGGCACAACTAAATAAAAATAAATGTCAGTATAAATGACATAAGGGAAAGCAGTTAAAAATCAATTCACATCAAATCAAATGTCTAACAAAACATATAATCTTAAAATGTCTTAATTAATTGGTATATGTACTCAAAAAAACTAACCACAATCTAAGCTGTTTAAGATAATAAGCGTATTTTAGTAATTGTGTTTACGATAATTTCATTTAAACAGCCCATGAATATTTCTCTGTTGACCTGATATCATTTAATATCCAAAAAAAATTATCAAGTACAAATGGAAAGTTGCACAATGCAAATGTCTTGTAATAAGTTTTACTTCATTACAGATTCATTCTCACTGGCTTATCTCCTTAGACAACTGCTACAGAACGTGAGATAATGATCTTCAAAACATGAATGACAAACTAGTTGCATTTTTCAGGGCCTTAAGACATTTTTTCTTACATTGTGTATATAATTACTTTAATTTCTTAATCGATACCTTGATAAAGAATGTAACCATAAAAAGTGAAGTTTCTGTCTACACTGAGAATCTTCACTTCCGCTGTTAAAAAAAGGGTTCTCAAACGTTAAATTTCAATGGTCCAATTTCTGAACATTCCCTTTTATTTTCAAAATTTATTTTCATTACTTTTAATCCTTAAAATTGTAGGTGTCAGAGAAATGTTATATGGTAACCCTAGCAAATGCTCACTTGAATTCTATTACAATTAAATACAGAACCATTCCTGTAACTTCAACACACAGATTCATACGTTAGACTTCCGAGATATTCACTCATTAACTAACGAAATACGCTAGCGCATGAGACAACATTCATTCGTTCACACTTTTGTATAAGAATGGACTTTTAAAAAGGAATATTTACATTTAGAAACTTACACCCCATATCACAAATACACATCAGCAAACAATGTTTTGTATACTCCTTAAAAGATTGAAAATCTTTAAAACTTCCACAAACATTTACACACAACAAACACCATATACATGTTCACTCACACGCTCTCATATGTTTACACATGCTTTTAACTGATTTCTGCGTACTCTTTATATTGAGTTAATGTTTTGACTAATCTGTATCGGGTCACATTATCTAATTTCCTGATACAGTCTATTCAGTCCATGTGTCATTTCAATAGCAGTACATTTTAATGTCCAAAAATTGCCATATAACTGTGTGTATGTATTGGAGTCAAACTTACCATTTTAATAATTTCTGGATACACAGGTTCGGTTAGTACACCTCGCCCTGCTGTAATATAATCAACCAGTTCATTCAATGTTGCTCTCTTAATTTCCTTTCCTTTCAAGTCGGCAACAGGGTCCATGAAATCAAATGCCACGCAACACTGGCGCAATTTCCGGATGAAAAGTTCTTCTTGTTCCGAGGAAGGAACATCTGCACAGGAACGACAACCATTACATTTGTACCAAATAACATAAGGAAATTTTACGTGACATGCATATGTACCGAATATTCCCTTCATATATATACATTTTTTTTTTTTTAAGAAAGGATTTCATTTACCCACAAATTTGAATCTTATCATTTTACAACATATCCAGTATAAATAGATGCGAATTGTTCACCAAGCCATACAAGACCACCACCCTTATAGATTAAATACATTATAATATAATAATCCATTACAAGAAACAGCACAAAATAACCTCCCCAAAAGATCAGGTATCAATATCAATTTCCATCTAAAATCATCTTACCCTACTATAAGACAATTATCTTTTATAATATCTAGCCAAAGTAACAATCATCTCATAACTAACCATCCATAAATGCGTGTGAATTCCACATTTTGTTCAACATGTCACTGTCAACTCTTCATAATAATCCAGTAGTCACTCCACAATGGCTACTACAACACTGACTTCATATTTTGAGAGACAAATATGGTCTCTTAAGGAAGTGACTAAAAAGGAAGAAATTTGACACTCGTCCACTTAAAAGATGGAGACACTTTTTAAAAAACAATCAAGTTTTAATTTGAGCAACCTCAAAGATTCCAAGTATTCGCTTTAATTCTAAAATTTCAATACAACTTGTTAAAAATCAAAAGAGAGTTCAGAACAGATCCATCTACGCCTTCCGGAGTTACAATTAGCAGAGTAATGTGCATACACACATTTATTTACACACCTACAATAGTGAAGAACACTTGCCTCTCACACTTCTGAATTAAAGAGGCACTGCCATACTGGGATCACGAAAATAAAGTTCTAGTAGTCATTGTGTATCACGACCATGAAATTCGAGCAGCAATATTACACCAAACAACCTAAACCTACGATCAATGTGGTTTTCATCACTCCCACAAAAATTACTAAATTAACAAAAGCAAAGCAATTGAAATTGAATTACCCAGATCATACATAACCTTCCCATTACAATGACACACTTTCCTCTAGCAACCCTTCTACACACTAAGTTTCAAGTTACTTCCTAAATGCGCCATATAATGCCCTAATTATTTATACTATTGTGGGTGTGTACCCAGAATTGTACAATATTCACACTAACCTTCATACTTCTTTTTTTTAACCATCTGAAGGACAATACTGAAATTCCTTTCTAAAAGATTTTAGATTAAATTTTAAATAATTAATCATTTTGGGTTTGTTGCATTGGAAAAGGTTTAAGTATTTTCTTCAAATTCTTCAGATACTACTCTATCTTCAATCTCTAATCAATAATTAATACAATTTATTTAACGTAGATGAAAACCTAGCCAAATGATCACAGTAAGTATTGGTATTCAGCTTCAGAGTACTTACCCTTTAGAAGTGGAAGAACTTGTAGTTCCAGATCAGCTGAATTTCGATATCTTGATGAGCCCTGGGATTTTTTTGTCTTCTTTTTTAAAGAACGTTTTGCAAAAGGATCTATTCTATCCACAAAAGTAGCTGAAGACATGTTGTCTCTTGTGTTGAAACTGCCTGTTCACACTCTGTTCATTCACTTGAAATTCAGTAAATTTCCACTGAGAATTTTCACTATAACGACATATGCATTGTAAATTAACTAATAGCGCCTGACTATTAGACTGGGAGTCATAAAACAATATTCATTTATCTAATTTGAAGTATAACAATATAAAATGAAACTGGTTATCTTACAATATCACATCTGGTTTAGCTAACATTATTTGCTCACATAAATACACAGCATTTATTCAGTATAAGTGCGCGTGATGAATGTGGTCGTGAGGTTTTATTTCCAGTAATGACATTCTTTCATTCATGAAAAGTCTAACATGCAACTATCGGTTGCACGCCCATTCTTTCTTGTCGACTCAAACACATCGCCTGCCGGTTTCTATATTAGAGGATGCAGTACAAAAACGAAAACACACTACTTTCTTCAGCACCAACAATTCTTACATACGATACTATATACATGGAACGACAGACAGGGGATAATAAAATTGACGTTATTATGTTCCTGAGCTCAAATGACTCCCAAGATTGAGAAGTGAAAGTTGCACACACAGCTCCAGACCGCCATCATCTCTTGAATTTCTACCACCTTCCTCATTTTTAAACGAAACGATTCGAATTCTCCACAGAACGAGAACTACAGACGGCAGAAATTCGTACACGCACACTGCAACAGATTAGAGAATTCGCTAAAAATTTTAATGTAACGCTTTTTTTACTAGTTCATCAATGCTACAAATAAAACCGAGAGGTATCTTGTGCTGAAAATAGTAATCTTCAAATCTCGTAATTCACGAGAAGAAACAAACCCAATTCGTAGTTCTAAATTCTGACTATAGATCGCGCGTAATATCATTAGTCATCACTAGTCACCACCGAATAACCAACAATGTCGATTTGGCGAGGAAATTCTGGGCGAGGTTTAATTGCATACTTTTATTAGAATATTAATTTATCTGGTCATTTTTTGATTATTTGAGGTTCTTTAAATGTTATCAAAATATCATGCTGGTAACATTAAGACCAGAATATTCATAACTTATGCTACGAAAAACTATTCTATTATTATTCGCACTACGAATACTCATGTCAATAATGTTAATGTTCAAAATACCAACTCAGAGGTCAAAATATCTTCCAATGCAACAATTAAATATATTTGTTTAATAACTACAGAACTGAAACCAAAACTAAAACTTCATGATTCTGTTCAAAATATTCTCTGAAAACATTTTAAATTTGGTCTTACTTCACAACCGCAATTATTATGCGTCATTGTTTATAAAAATCTTCATATTATCTTATTTAACAATAATATGAAAATTAAAATCATTTTATTTATCTAATGTAATTAAGGTGATCTATATAGAAGTATGATATTTATTTTGATCAAATAAATAAAAATTAATTGCTAGAACTATATTAAATTTTTAGAAATATCCAACATTCACGATACAACTAGCTAGTTCTTGATAGCACCCTTTCGTGATCTATTAACTGCAAGTCAGAGAAGGAATTAACTTGTGGTACAAGGATTTTCTTCAGTAATGATGACAAGGAAAATTGAACCCTAAGATTTAGGCCTACACTTTATTTCTAACATCAAATGATGCTGAAACGATACATTTTCTTCATTGCCATCTTCACGAATCGAGAACGAACCCATACTGCAAGGAACATTTAGCGGGAAGAAAACGCGCCAAAATCAATGTTTTTATCCCTTTAAAATCAACCAAATGTAACTTCATAGTTTAGCAACACTTCACACGTTAAGAAATTGATTGTAAAAATATGAACTGGTACGATATTTTGTTAAAACAGAAGCAACTTCAAGTAACTTAGGTAATTGTGACTTCTTTTTCTGAGGTCGCGAAGGAATTTGTGGTGTACCTGACAAGAAAAATTATATTCTAGAAACCTAATTTACCTCTGCTTATATTCTCACAATGAAAGCATTGTCGTGTGGAAGTATGCATATATAACTGATTAAAAAACGGGAGATCGTTCTTCAGTTTAGTTCAAATTAACAATCATCAACCAAACAATGTTTTGGCTATATACCTTCGTCAGAACTAAATACGTATCATAACCATGCATCTTGTATCACATATCGCCAAACGTTCATCTTCACGCTATATAATTTTCATTATAACATGTTGCCTTCACAACTAATAACCAAATGCCTTCTCCGAGCATTTAAATTAATTCAGTGACATCTACGATTACATCTGCTCTATCATTTATTCATCACAGAGGCAAACCCTCGTAAAAATAACTTTTTTTGTTTGTTTTTGTAAATGAATGAATGTTCCAGCATGACTCTAAAGCGTGAGGAGAAATTTCAACCAAATGTTGCTGTTCTGCGACCGAGTAGAAAATAGAGTTGAGGATCTCTGCAAAATGTTACCCTTAAATTTGTGTTTAACTAAATCTGGCGTAATGCAACCCGTAATGCGTTCGGGTATTTAGAAATTGCGGGGCAACTGCCCGGACAGGGGCCTCACCGGGCGAGGAGGGTGAAGCCGGGCGGCGCTGGACAGAACTGGACAGAACGGGGTGACAGGGTGTGAGGAGGGGGGGGGAGTCAGTGAGGCGGTGAAGTGAAAACGGAGCTTGCTTAAAGAGTGGGCGGGGCAGGGTGGAGCGGTGGGGGGCGATTGGGGATGCGAATAAAATTACTTCCAGTTTTCTCTATGTATAGAATTCATTCCGTTTCGTGTTTAATACATTATTGTGTCACTGGACTGACGGCGTGAAAGTAGTTACTCGACGCCAAAAAAACAGAAATAAGCGGGCGTCAAGAAAAATTTGGGGAGTAAACATCGACATGTGATTTTTAAAAAACGGCAAATTAGAGTTTATGTTAAATAAGGGAAAAAGTTGGCAACTGGTCCGACAGCTTACATGGAAGCCATAGTTCTAATCTTCACCCAAGCGTGATCGCTTGCATTATACTTCTGACGATTGTACACAAAATGTCTGAGTAGAGAGAGAAGTTACTGATGATATATTTATATCTGTGCATGATTTACGGAGGGCTGTTCATCAATTAAATCGAACTTACGAAGGATATTATAAAACAGTTCCAAGAACAAATAGGTAAAAGTAGCATTTATGGGGAAACATCCGATATGCACAAAAATAATCTGAGAAAATACAATGCTGGAACAAGTTAGTGATTTTAAATATTTGAGATATGATGTAACTTTCTTTACTGAGGTTTATGTAGATGAAAAAATACAAAAGTACCACAAAATATGTAGAGACATTCGACGAACTCTTAAAGATAAAACACTCAGAGATACCCTGAAGAGAATATATAAGCAAAGGTTGCCACTTCCCCATTGTTTGGAAGGGAATGTTGGGCTATAAGAAAGATAAATGGTCGTTGAAATGAAATTTCTGAGATCTTAAAAGAGAAATCTCGGCTAGATAGTATCAAAAATGAGGAAATAAGAAAATAATTAAATTTTCAAGCAGTCACTGACATAGTTCAATCTTACAGGCAGAAATGGTTACGTGTCTAAAGAATGGAACAGAAACGCATTCGAAAGCAGGCGTTTAAGTGTCTACCCCGAGATAGAAGACACCCACAAGACGAAGACTGTATTGAATGTTATTACATAGACGAGGTCTGCTTTCGCGTCGCTCTCGGTCATCGTGAATGAAACCGTTGTGGTTATGTTAAAATCATGTTTGTGCCCTCACGTGTAGGTCTTTTTCGGTGTGAATGAGTTTTTATTCCCGGACTCTCGGGAGCGTGTCCATTGGCTTACGATCGACACGGGCCGCAGAGCAATAGCTCGACTGGTTTGAAAAAACACCAGAGACCTGGCGTACCTCAGGAGGTGTTGCGATGATGCCCGAACTACTCTCTGGCGGACAAGAAGTTCCCTTTAAGGAAGACGACTACGGTAGCTCCCATCGAATCCATTTGATTTCATGTATTTTGTAAATAAATAAATAAAATACAAAAATGTATGTGACGTGCAGGGGGAAATATAATTTACGCATGTTTTCTTGTGATCCAGAATCCCTACTCCACTCTTTTACATTACCTAGTAGTTGAATGATGTATAAAGATACCAACAAGGTGAGGTTCGAAAATTTTGAAAATTAGAAAGTTTCGCTTCTTACAATTAGTAATACCTGAGTATTACTTATTTGCATCGGTGCACGAACTACATATTTGATTTTAGTGTACTGCTAAAAAAAAACTTACAGCTAGCGAAGGAAGAACTCAACAACACGAGCGTTTAGTGAAGATTTATATATAACCAGAAGCAAAACACGGGGTCATCTCAGCATTCACTCAAAGGATGAGGAAAATAGAACGAAAACAATGATCAAGACGGTTGGCGTGTCTTGTCGAATTATTTGTCACATTCTCGTAAGCGTTGACGGAAGCGTGAGGGGAGTCGTCAGCGACAGTTACGAGTACATTGTTCTGGCAATTACGTAGCCTTGAAGCCCCAAGGAAAGAGTAGCTTCGGGCTAGGTAGACCGCCCCTCCCTCCCATCGAAAGTTGAGGCGAAAACAACTCCGCAAGCGGAGAAAATGGTACACAAAATGAGGAAATCTTCTCCCCTGCTATTTTTCAGGCTGGCACCGACAAGATATTTTGACTTTCTCGTCCTTACTTCCTAAGAAGAGGAAGTATTGCAATCGTGTGCCGAAAAACGGCGAATTTTCGCCAGAAAACTCCTATTGCCGGGGAATACAAGTTATGTGGCTTCTTGATACCGAAAAGTCGATTGCTGACAAAACGTCTGTCGGTCATCTGCTCATCTATCTGTCTGTGGTCGATGCTAGCGCCTAACCATTTCAGCCGATTTTTCCAAAATTGATATTTCTCAATCGACTTAAAGGAACTTGAGACCTCCCGAGTTCGAAATGGCTGCAGATTTTTTTATTAAATTTTGTCCTCGGATAGTTTAAAAGATGCTTAAAAGAATGGCGCAGATCATATTTTCGTTAAAATCTTTGAATTCTCGAATAGTGTAAAAGTTCATTTTTTTCAATGTCTTCTTACAACTACAATATTGAAAGAGAGTTTTGTAATGAAATCTGTTATTAAAAGGCAGGTCTTGAAATTAGATCATCTGCAATTTTTCAAAAATATGAGTAGTTTTGCAGACTTTTACGTGAAATTTAGGCAATTTAAAGAAAATATTTTTTCAAGAACACTCCTAGTTTTGGTTTAAGTTTTCTCCTTGTATGTATTAAAGAACGGTAAAAAAGATGGCGCTAGTCTCATTTTCGTCGAATTGTGAATTTTCGAAAATTAAAACACGGTAACATTGAAAAACTACAAATTTGAAGATAGATATTATTGTCTTAAATAAAATCTGTTCAAAAAAATCAGATCTTTATAAATACCATGTACATTTTTTTGACAAAACGGGCAGCTGTCACTCAATGTCTGCTTGAAATTAATGCAAATTACAAAAAACAAAAACATTTTCTCAAAACCCGCTCTAAATTTGTTCTTAAAATGTTTTCCATGGACAGAACAATGGACGCAGAAGAGAATAACACGGATCTCATTAAAGTTAAACTGTGAATTTTCTAAAAATGCAAATGTTAGAAATTATGCGAGAAAGTGTGTGCTGTTGTAATCTCTTCTTCCTTTTTTATGTCGTCGAACTATAATTTGTATGTTTTGTTGGTTGATTGTATTTGTAATTAATTTGATTGTATTTGTAATTTTGTTGAATGTATTTGTATGATTTGTTTGTTGAACAATAATTAATTGGCACTGAATAAGCTCCGAGTGTTGCCACCTAATTTTAACTCCCACATACGCCTTCAGGCAACGATACAACGGCATCTGT